TGTGTGTGTGTGTGTGTGTGTGTGTGTGAAGTGTCTCTAAGGAGTTCACTCAGAAAAGGAGACTAGGAAGGCTCGTCATTAAACTAAGTACGATTTCTGTCACCCCACTTTGCGTTCAGCCACGAATCTGTAGCTTGGTCATGAGTAGGCGTCACCCTCGCAAAAGAGGGACTGATGCCAGAAGAGGCCCGATCCCATGGGACATGGAGGTAGCTATGACAAGCCCCACCGAGGGTTGAGTTTGCGTCAGAGCAGCATTGTGTCTCAGGATTGCTACAGATTTAGACCAGTTCACGAGAGCCTCAGAGAATTTAGAGTGTGTCTCCAGGCAGTCCTTGAGCACCCCTAATGAGGATTCCGTATTGATTGACAAGGCGAACAGGTCATCTGCCATAGGTCTTGGCGCTTCACGTTTTCAGGACACCAGGAGTATCCAAATAAGCTCATATCCTTCTGCAGTATGACCTGTATTATCAAATACAACCCGTGCGCCGTGACCCGCCGGACTTGCCTCCAGACCTTTAGGAGCGACGTCTTGATGGACAACAGCGTCCTCGTGACAACACTCCCAATGATGAGGATGTTCCGCGTGAAGGCGATGATCCTCTGCGCGATGCAGATGATGTGCACCCTCCTGCAGATGCTGCTAAGGCAGGATAAAGCTGGGCGGCCGAATGGGGGAAGCAAGTCCACCAACAGGGGCCTTCTTGATGAGGCACCAACTAGAAAGATGAAAGATGTTAAGCCTACCAGCAGGGAACTTCTTAATGCAGCAGCAGCCAGGAAGATGAAACGATGTAAGTCCACCATAGCCAAACATAAGTCTCCCTGCCAGCTCCCACCTCTTCCTCCTCCCTCAACCTCTCTTTACCTCCATAGCCTGGCTGGAGGTCTTGTCCCTCTACCTCCATAGCCTAGGGCTTTCCCACCTCTCTCTACTACTCCATAGCCATCGAGGCCTTCTTCCTCATCCTCAAGCTCCACCTTCACTTCCGAGTTCTCCACCAACCTCTCCCTCTGGGCGGAGCAGCATGATGACTGCTTGGTGAATAATGGTCTACTCATTGAATGAATGATATAAGTTAGGCTGCCCGGCCTCCAGTACCTCCTGGCCGAGCACAACCTGCCTCTGCCCACCCTCCCTTCGATGCACTAGGCCTACCAGGTGTTCCTTCTTTTGGCAGGAACATCCTTACAGTCTGATATCTACCTGCATTTCCCAAATCTGCTTATAAATCGGTCTGCATTCAGGGCCCGCCCATCATGACCTACTTGAAATCTAACACACCCTTCTAGGCCTAGCCGACTTGCTGAAAAATCCGTACTGGGGCCCTAGAAAATTCGATTTATGTTCCTGGCTGCCCCACAACCCTCAGCATGTCCCTGCTGCTAATTCTGCACCCTGTCCATGACTCTACCCTTATTTCTAACTTGTCCCTGGACGAGGCATAGACACACATCATGGCCAACAGAGTTAGTGTCAGAACTCAGACTGGGGCCCAAACCTCAGCAGGCAAGCACACAGCATTCATGCATCAGCGGCAGATTACATTTATACTTAGAAAACACAGGAAAACAGGCTCAGATGCAAGGAAACAGGACCTCGGGTAAGCGAGAAAGAGGCCTATCCACCCTAAGTGAAGGCGGGCCTGCCAAAATGCAGCTGGGCCTCACAACAGACCAATGTCAGCAAGAAGGGGGCCCAGGGCGCAGCCTGCGCACACCCTCCTCGGCCTCTCCAGCCAGCACAAAATACTAGAGGGCGTCCTTTCTTGGACATTCAGGCATAGTGCGGCAGCGGTGCTGGAGCACTAGCTGAGCGCTACATCCAAGGAGGAAGCTGCACGGTGGCAGCAAGGTGACAGAGAAGAGGGAGAGCGGCAGCCATAGCCAGGCTTCTTGCTCCATAGCCAGTGGTGGAGTAGCGGAGGTCCTTGGTGGAACAGGGAGTGGGAAGAGGAAGGGAGGCAGTGTGACAAGGCAGAGTCGTCAAGTGGCATTGGGATGATGACATGCGCACCAGTTGTAGGAGGTAGAGTCAGCGGTACAGCCGCCTGTAGGAGGGCTACATTGTTGTTGTATTGGTGATTGGAAGTGTTGGAACTTGGAAGGGCTTTCATTATCAAGAGGCTTCAGTGCTTTGCTCGTTCTTTTTGTGGTGAAACTCTCTTTGATAAGGTTTGATTTCTGCTCTCAATTTTCGCTTAATGATGTCTGGTTTTCTGTGAGATGTCGCAACGTGGTTTATTGCTGTTCGCATTTCTTGTTTCCTTGCACAACAGACTCGGAATTGTCAATCTACACTAGCCTTGTCTCAGCGAGAGACTCCGAGAGTGTATCTTCGTGGGGTTTGAACCCACTGTCAAGGCTCCAGCCCTGGTGGTGCCCTGTGCCCTGGCCAACTCCCTTGAGCCAACTTTTCATCGCTTTGAATTTGCTTCAGGCTACAGGACAGCTTGACCCGCCCCCCAGCAACTTGAACCAACATTGTTCTGGGCTTGAGAGTGACAGCAACAGGTGTTGAATCCAGCACCTATCCCCTTGAAACTCAGGCATGCAACCACATGCACTCACCGAGGGTACTGTGCGAGCATCCCAACTAGCAGGACCTGGCTCCCGGTTTCCAGGAGGTGTCAGAGATGTGGCTCAAAACAAACAAACAAACGAACAACAAACGGGTAATGCAGATGCTCCTGGTCGGTGACTCACAAAGTGTCGTCCTCTGGAATTTAACTGCAGGAGCCGACTCAGTTCGCTTGGACACGATCTGCGATAAGAACACCAGAAATTAGGAATTCCCAAGCAGGCGTCCGGACACCACTCAATGCGATCGTGGAATCATCCTCGCGACTTGCAGGAGCCACACCCTTGTATGGGAAACACGCACATAAGTTGCCATTGTCTACATCAGCGCCAATCACTCCACTTCTCGCCAGAACCCCCAGAATCCTCTCTGCAGCAGTTGAGAACAGGCATGCACTAGCGAGGTTGCGAAGCCCTGTCTACGAGTCCACCACCAGCGCCTCAGATTCCGCAGATACAGTTGCAGCTAGCGTGTCAAGCGTGCTATCATCAATGAAAGATATTTCACTTTCTACATCGCCAGAATCAAGGCCAGAAACTAGCACTACCTTCGAGTCATCCTCACCTTCATCCCTCTCCTCCCCCTCTACCTCCTCGACAGTCATGTTTTTGTCAGTGTTGAAAAGTGGTACAGCGAAGCACAGCACTCTGCCAACTCTCTCTGAGTCTAGCACATACACAGACAGACCAAATATGTCTTCCACTGTCTCCCAACTCAGCGCCCTACAGTCAACACAATTGCCAGCATCATCATCTGCATCAGCATCTTCAGATTCTTCACCCCCATCTCTGTGGTCCTTGAAACTAGTTTCTCACCCATCTTCTCCGCAAGGAGTAGTCACAGCAGCAGCAGTAAGTCAAGGAGCCGGTGAAGACAAGTCGTCATCAAGCGATCGGGCACGTGAAGATCAAGGAATCGGACCATCCTTAGTTCAGAGGCCCGTCTCTCCTTCACCTGCTCAACCTGCCAAGATCCAACCTCTGAGACCAGCACTCGTGAGTCTGCGCAATTTCACAAAGTCCTTCCTTCAGGTTTCATCCTCTATAGGAGCTAAAGCGGTTAACAGTCTATCGACTCTAACGTCCTCAAGATCAAGACATCAACATTCACATAGGGAGGAAGGTAAGCCTCTGAAACACGACGAGTTGCAGGGTCAGGATTTCCACAGTGAAGATGAGGTACTCGGTGACAGCCAATTTCCCACCGCAAGGTCAGCGGGTTTCGTGTCCAGCTCCATTCAAGTTTCCCATAGTGGTAAATATGCTAGAAGCCGCAGCTCGAGGTTCGGTGCTTCCACTCCTGGAAAGGAAACAGAAACCTTGAAAAGGCGCCTAAGCTTTCGAGAGTCCTTGATGGATAGCGCTAAGGCAGCAAGGATTGCTGGTATTCTCAGAACCTTGGTGCTAAAAAAGATCAAGCGACCATGCGTGTTGATCATGGAAGATGCCCATGTATCCTCCTCTTTTTTTTTTTTTTTTTTTTTTTTGAAAGAGTTGTGGCACTGTATTTAGGATAGGAATTGACTGCATGACCATTTCTTTGTTGTTGTTTTTTGAAATGTTATGATCCTGGCTATTCCGAAGTGCAAATACACAAGGAAAGACAATGCTGTTCAATTGCAAAAGAAACGAAAGAACTTGGGAAGAGAAAGACATGAAAAGGAAGAAGAAGAAATAAGAGAGCACCAGCAAAAGACCAATGACAAATCCCACTTCTTTCGCCACCCACTCCACCCTCCTTATCTCCCCCAATCTTATTCTTCAACAAATAACAAAAATAACAATGAACGGCTGAACCAGAACCAATATCTGAATCTCCTTCTTTCCGTCTGGAAGGTGGTGGCTATGGTGGACTACTGGGGCCCTGCCCCTATGTTTGAAAGACAACACAAAAGCAGATATGTCCTCTGTCACTCAGGCCGCCATGCCTGACTCTGAGCTGAAGCCTTCTTGATGCAGTGCAACTCCTACTGGGGCTTCCAGGTGCAGCGCCTACCAAGGAGATGAAGATGACGTCCACCATAGCCTGGTAAGTACGTCCTCCACTCTCCTCCTCAACTCCTTCTTCCTCCTCCTCCTACCTTGTCCTGTTCACCATAGCCGAGGTGGAAGGCCAGGCTCTCTTCCTGCCAGCGCTCTACACCAGCGCTCGTCTTCCAAACACTCCAGCAGTGTGATGCCCAAACTAGCACACGGGAATTGAGGAAGAGCAAGTGCTCTTCCTGGAGATATAGCAGGCAACTTGCCCCTCTGGCGGTGACTTCCAGCGCGCCGCCTCCTAAGCAACCGGTACCATCCTCCTTTCGGAGGGAAACATCATTGCACGTCTGATATTGTCCGCTACAGGCCTTAGACTTAGACTACTTGAACTCTGTCTTTTTCTGCCTACCCACCTTTAAGTCAAGAGGACCCTAAGTGGACCCTAAGCTATGCAGGCCTACCCTACCGCTACTTGAGTGCTAGCCTTCAGCTACTTGAGAGTGTTTTCCCCGCTGCAACCCTCGAAGTCACGGCCACACGTAAGTACCGGCCCGAGGGCCTCCCAAACATGCAAGTACCCTGGCAGGCCACACACACTCAAGCAGTCGTGCACTCGGACAGACACACGGGGACCAGCAAGCACACACACATACAGACTTAGAAATCTCATCAAAAAGTGGTAATCTCAGCAAGGCGCACATTCCAGCGGCAAAACTCAGAAATCAGAAGAGTTCTCAATCTGTGATTTTGCAGGTCGTTACACTGCCGGCCGCTGAAGAGTGAGGTCATTCGAGCGAGTAACTCAATCTGAGTCCCTGCAAAATGCAGCGTAAGGAGTAGAATTCATGAAACATGCCCGTAGGCTAGTGCACATTATCTGCATGAAATCAGGCAGATAGAAAGCATAAGGTAGACTAACATCAGCACAAGGTCACACAGACATAGAAAACACAGTCTCAAGACTCTCGAGTCTCAACAAACAAATCAAAGGCAAAACTTCTTTATTTCTGAGTACGGACGCCGCCCGGCCGGGCGGGGCCGGGTGGGTCGCCCGGGCAAACCGGGCGGGCAAAAAAAACAGCCCAGAATTTTTTTATTTATTTTTTGAAGGCGGGGTCTTACTGTGCTCGGCGAGAGGACCCCGAATCTGCAATAAAATTCTGGTTTGGAGGGGCGGG